GCTGTTGCTCATAGCCGTCGCCGTCTGCTTCCTGTGCCTTCTCCCAGCCCGTCGCGCTCGGGCGAGGAGCTTGAGTCTTCGCTTCAACGACGCGATCTCATTCTGCTCTGCTGCCAAGCTTGTCGCCAGTGCTGTCTCGAGGACGAGCGAAGATGCTCCCTTCCCTCCTCCTGCTGCTGCTGCTCCCACTGCCCCTCCTGTTCCTCCCCCTGCCTTCCCTCTGCTCTCCGTCCTTGTCTGTGCAGCTCCTGACCCCGTGTCAGAAAAGCACCACCACCACCACCACCACCACCACCAGCACCACCACCTCTACCAGCAGCACCAGCAGCAGTACCTGTCTGAGGTGGGGGATGCAGGGAGGAAACCAGGCGAGACATCTGCTGCTGTTGGAGCAGCTCAGAAACGCTCAACGGGGGAGGAGCAGACCTTAGCCTCCTCTAGCCTCCGCTCAGTCTGCTGGATGAAATCCTCCTGCATGACCTGCTCGGGTTGTCACTGCTCGCATGCTCGCAAGCTCCTTGCAACGAGCTGCGACGCTACACAGCACGCGGCATGCAAAGACCGAGGGAGAACAATCGCAAGTGCTCGATCCATTCGCAGCGATCACAAGGCACAGAGGATGATTTGGGAAAGGACAGGAAGGACGGAGGTAGAGAAAGGACGGGAGGGAGGGAGGGAGGGAGGGAGGGGGAGGGAGGGTGAAAGGGGGGGGGCAACGGGAGGGAGGGGAGGAAGTCGAGGAGTGGAGGCAGGGGAGGCAGGGGATGGGAACGAGGCACAACGAGAAAGGGTTGATAGCTGTCGACATCACCTCCTTTGCCTGCAGGGAGTTCAATCTGTTCCGAGTCTGCTGGGTCTGCTGCTGTACACTCTGGCGATGAACAACACCAGCATCACACACCCGGATCCAAGGCGTCAGCATCATAAACCTGCAAGACACCCCGCGGATCTGTCTTGACTGCTGTCTTGACTGTCTTCCATGGAACAAGTTTGTTTCCGACCCGGTAAGTTGTGTAATGCTTCGGGGGCGGCCTTGCCTTTGGGAGGCAGTCGTCAAGTTTCACGGCCTGCGGTAGATGGATGAGGGAGAGGCAAGAGAAGGGCGAGAGGAGACCTGAGTCGCACAGAGATCAGCATTCTCAGCAAGAGCAACATCGTCGTTGTTGAACGAGTCCTTCTCGCCCCCATACAGCAGGGTGGAGGAAAGCAAGACGCAGCATGCAGCGAAGACGCTGAGCGGGATCAAGAGCTTTCCTCCGGCCATGGAGTTGGGATGATGTCAAGAACTCTTCACTTCACTTCTTTCCCTCTCGTTGACCAACAAGTCCATCCTCCCCATGGGCTTGAGATTGGTTCCGATGCCTGCAAACATCACTGAGGTATTGAAGGAAGAGGGCATCACGAGAGGATCGGCAGACAAGGAGGGAGGATGAAACATGGCGCTACATCTACTACATCTACACCTAGTCGAACTACATCTACATCTACTTCTACTACATCTACATCTACTCGAGCTGTATCTACTTCTACTACATCTACATCTACATCTACATCTACTCGAGCTGTATCTACTTCTACTACATCTACATCTACATCTACTCGAGCTGTATCTACTTCTACTACATCTACATCTACATCTACTCGAGCTGCATCTACATCTCCTTCCCCTCTCTGCTGCATCCTCTGTCGTCGCTTCTCGCCATCTTTCACCCTGCACTGCCTTCCCTACCCCTCAAGCCTCCATGACTCATCGCCTGCTCCTCATCCCCCCACATGCCGTCACTGCGGCCGGCCAGCTGGCGGCCGGCCGCCGGCTGGGCCGCCGGCGCCGCGCCGGGCTTCCGAGGCCCGTACGGTCCGTCGGAACTCAGTTCGTGACCGTGACCGGGCCGTGACTGGGAGTCACGCCGGGCGGCCCGGCCGGCCGGCCGCACTCGAACTTCGAAGTTGGCCAGTTGGCCTGTTGTCAGTACAAATCATGACGAGTGCAAGACTGCCGACTCGAGTCAGTCACTGAGTACAACTTGAATAACGGTACAGGCTGGAGTACGCAGCGGCTTCGCAGTTTATGATACATAGCCGCATAATAAGTTACAGTGGCACTGACTTGCTAGTTAGTTTCAAGTCACAGGCTTACAGTCTACTAGTGCATGACGGTCAATCGCTGCTCTCCATGTCAACGTCTGAATGAAGTGGAGAATGAGTCTGTTGGGTCGTTGAAGCGGCATCAATCCTTCTTCCCCTATACAACACAAAGTCAGTCACTGTCCATTGCAATGTAACATGTCCGTGACACGCACCGCCGTACACCTTCGTTGGCAATATCGTTCCTCTTCCTCTTGTTCTTTCGACCTGTATTGCTCCGACATAACCTTTTGTACATAGTCGTGTATGAAAGCTCAGTGAATCTTTCTCTCTGTTTTTTCCATGCATTCGGTCCATACTTTTCCTTGACAAGTTCAACGTAACCATGATTGAAGCACTCTGAATAGTTCTCATGGTTGATCCCAATATCAGTACTCAAATTTGCAAGTCTTCTGCCCATTCCCTCGATGGCCAACATGACTGCTTTGGCTTTGCAAAGATTCTTCTTCATGTTGGAACACACTAGATCTGTTCCTTCCAACCGTTTGAGTGGACCAATACGCTTCCATTCTCCATCGATCTTCTCCTCTTGCCCTAGGTGCCATTTCTGCCACATACTTTTGCACGGCGTTTTCTGAGGGAAAATAAAACCTTGAGGTACAGGATGTTCCATTCCCCCCCATGTAAACGTTTCGCCTTCAATCAGTATGCCTGTCCTGTCGTTAATAATTGGCAGTTCCCCTCCACCCCCTCTCCCTGTCAGTTCCTGAGGACCATGCATCCTTCTCGACGTCTGAAGTCCTTGCGTGATTTCACTGAATCTTCTATTCATCATGGTTTTCATATCCTCCCGCAGCTTTTCCAAACCTCTATGAGCTAGTGGAATGGCTCCGTTCACCTCAAAGTTTCTAATGATTAACTGGTAAATGTCTTGCGGTAGCGAAGTTGAAACACTCATCACTGTATCCTGCAACAGCTTTGTTCCCTGTTCTTGACTCTCTCGCAGCTTTCTGATTTCAGCCACATTCATCACGTGCATCGGAACTCCAGTGCAGGTCATACCGCATTCTTCGCATTCCCCGCGACAAAAGCTGATATGATGCTCTTTCAACTCTTGTAAAAATTGCATTGTTCTTGAGCCTTTTACTGCAAAAACAGGTGAACCCCATAGGAAGTGGTGACTTGGAAACATGTCTTTGAGACGGTCCAAATGGTACACTATCTGCGCAAGGAACATTGGTAAACATCTCTTGTAGCTGTCCGGGAACGTGTCGTACCCATCAATGAACTTGTGCATACCAATATCGTAGATTCTTGCCAGACCTTCCCTGGTGAAATGAGGAGGTAAAACATCGAAATTCTCGCTCTTTGTGTTGTTCCCTGCTAGAATACGCCCACAGTATTGATCATTGCCTGGTTCCACTGTTCCAATGCACCTGTCCTTGGAGTTACCTGGTCCTCCCGGAATGCCTAGTAGATGCGTCACGCTCCCCTTTCTGAAACTGTGCGAACCTGCACATTTAAAATCTCAGTCTCAAGATTTCACTCCCAGGCTAGCACTTACCAACGTCCCTCCATACTTCCTCCTGCATGCCCTCTGTGGACAATACTCTTCTCAAGACTTGACCAAACCTCTGCTTCTGGTCGTTTCCCAGAAAAAATTTGGTGTGACATGTCCTCATTCTGGTTTGGGAAAACGCATACAAAGCAATGGCCAGGATAGGACAAGACATAGGTTTGTTGGGTGCTGCAAATATGTGCCTTGTTCTCGGAGAAAAAATGTCGGCGTCAACACCCCCTTGGTCCATCTTGGTCTTCAATATCGTCAGCTTCAAGCAGTCGTTCTCCCAATCAAAGTGTTCCAGATGTAGAATGTCTAATATTTCGCTTGTACAGCAACAGTTCCACATGATCGTGGTAGCAGCAAATCCGAACAAGCTTGTTGATCCTATCTCTCGTGCCATAGTATCTGAACGTATCTGGGTCATCTTTTCACAAATAATTCCATACTCTCTCACTGCCAAGACACATTCGCCTTCTTTTGATTTCATCACTCCCGTGGATTTCTTTTGAGTAACTACCCTTCCATAGCCTTTGATCAGTCGACTGAGCCGGTCGTTTAACGTACTACCCGATGGCATTCCAGTCGCGTCAAAAGCAACATTTCTGTCTCTGTAATATGCTTTCAAGGCACTCTTGTACCCCTTCAGTGCTCCTAACGACAGCGTTCTCTTGCTTGCCTGGTATCCTGAAATGTCCTCGTTATCATGCTCGTGTACGTTATGCGGATCATCCTCCTGCTTTTCCTGCTCTTCCTGATCTCCGTCTTCCTGATCTCCGTCTTCCTCATCTTCGTCTTCCTCATCTTCGTCTTCCTCATCTTCGTCTTCCTCATCTTCGTCTTCCTCATCTTCCTGCTCTCCCTCAGGCTCTTGACCTTCGTTATCATCTTCCTGATCTTCATCAGTTCCCGCTATCCCATCTCTACTCTTGGACGATCCTCTTCTCTTTCTAGATTTTGGTAAGTCAGTATTGGTGACAAGGTCTCCAAACAAACTCTTCAAATCTTTCCATGCCATTGGGAGTATCAATTCGCCGTTCTCGTCGACAGCCCTGGGATTCACTTTGAGTAAGAGACGCACGATCCTATTGATCTTGCATCGGTAAACTTTCTTTGTACTATCAGCGATGACTTTGTTCTCTATCAGGTCAAATGCCCTTTCTTGTCGTCGTCGTCGCTCCTCCGACATCATGACATGATTTGCTCTGATCAGGGGTTGCATTTTTCGTAGTTTTCGTTCTGGGGTGGTCGGTGGATCAAAGGGGTCCAACCCCTGTGATTCTCTGATGATAAAGGGGTTGGGGTACCGAAAGGGGGTAGGGTATACAAAAATGTTACTCAATGTCACTATGAGTCAGCCTACCTTCTTGAGAGTCAGCCAAAAATATATTGAAACTTCCATTTTCTCCGGCGGCCCGGGAGTCCGGTCACCTGGTGCCAGCCCGCCGCGGGCGGCCGGGCCCGGCCGCCGGTCAGGGCGGATCGGACTCGCTAGTGAGTCCCGGACTTCGGGACTCCGGAGCCCGGCGGGCCGGGATGGGCCGGAGTCCGATCCCGAGCCGTGGGCTCACGGCCGGACCGTAGGCTACAGTACGGCGTGCCAGGCATCTCGCAATACTCGGAATGTATCGTACTTCAAGTAAAGTCACTCATGGCAGACTCAGTCGATGACTTCACCGGCCCGCGTGGGCCGGACTCGGCGGCGCACTGCGCCGCGGCAGTGCGCACACGGTGGCACCGTCTCAGTGTGACACTGGCAAGCCATACCATTCGGTCGTCGGAGATCGGACTCAGCGGCGGCCGACACCTGAAAAAGCATCATGGCATGCAAAGATGACCAACAAAAGGGTAATGAAAGCCACGGCCCGGGTGATTGCAGAAAACTTCAAATGTGCAACTCCTTTTCCGAAGTTCTGCGACTCCGTGAACCGTTGAACAGACCGCCGAGCTTTCGAACTTGAAGCCAAGTTTCTCTCATACTACGTGACTTTGCGAAATAGACTTACACTGGCACAATTTGGGTGATCGTCAAATGAGGGGAAAAATGGGCTTCAGGCGATGCAGAGTCCTACGGGAATCAGCAGGACGAAGGGCAAGCAAAAAAAGACGAGTCGAAGAAAAGGATGATGGAATTGAACAGCTTCCTGGTGGCCATGGAGCAAACCGTGTAAAAGTGAGGGAATTGTTTGTCATGAAACTTGTGCAGTCTACATCAGAACTGATGTCATATTGAAAGGATTGAAGAACTGCTTATCGAAAGGATGCGGAGACTGATAGGGGTGAAAACGGTTCAGACGCCACTACCCAACAAATCACCCAGCGATGCCACCGTGAACCTGTTGTCTGCACAGAACATCGGTATATTGAACTTGAAAGTAAAAACTTGACAATTGGCTGAAACTGTTGTTTATAACTTGGAAGTTTTTAAGAACATCAGGAACTGTTGCTTTGTCGACAGGAAGTTGTTCATGAGAAATAAGCAGGGAATACAATACAAAAACAGGGCTCCTCCATAGCACGAGTTAACTAAACAACCATTCATCGATGCTCAGAACCAATGTCGGACAAGAAGGAGTTGATCCTAACTGGACAGACCAGCCACCCGTGGTCGTCAAAGGTTCCTTCACACTTGCTGTCCTCTTGACTTAACATGTTGTTTTGACAGCTTTGCAGATCCGATGGATGGGGGCTATCTTCCATGGAGCTAGAGTCTCTCTGTCCATCATGCGATTCGCTTGCCCTCTGTGTGCTGGGCTCGCTCTCTTCCTCAAGTGTTTCCGTCACATGCCTCCATGTTCGCCGGTTCCAGATATCGCGCACAGCTTTCGGGGTGATGCCATACTTGTTGGCGAGGATTCGGCTCTGCGAAGTAGGACACCATGTACTCTCTGCTGGGAAGAGGACGCGCACCTGAAAGATGTCACGGGCAATTCGATCGTCTATGCGAGCTCGTCGCTTGACCACCAGGCGCTCGGACGAGGAGGACATTCCAGGCGCGCGGCCGCTACAACTGACTGGAATCTCCAAACAATCTCCCCGTAGAAGTTCGCACAATATCTCGCAACGATTCGCTCTCTGGCTATAAAAAACACAACGTTTCGCCCTGCTACGACCTTGAGATAAAACAATCTTGTAAAGCTGTTTCCAAACTTCTTGCGAATTGTTTTCGAAAGATTTGAAATGTTACGTTTTGGATTCAACATATTTCACTGGGTGCAAGCACACGACCTTGTACACGGAAAAGACCTATCAGTTGCGACTAATCAACTTGGCAACATATAGCGAATCCGTAGTTGGTATTTCAAATTTTCTGCGAGAATTTGCAGTGATCGATTCATTCTTTCGGTCGAGGGGCGTAACTTCACCGTTTACTACCGTACTGCCAGGATAGTTCGAGACTCGGTCGGACGCCCGGCCGTTTCGCTGACGGTTATAACGGCGCGACCGTGACTGAGTCCTGGGGCCCGGCCGGGCCGCACCGTGACTGGCCGGGCAGTGAAAACGAGTCGCTCGGACTCTGAGTCCGGGAACCGGCCGCACCGCCGTGGCCGTGGCCGCGGCCAACTTTCACGCGGCCCGGGTGGCACCGTCCGACCGTACTGACCGGCCCCGGGCGACCCGGCGGCTTCCGAAGTTCGGCGAGGCAGTAGACTCCCGTAAGCATTTCAAGATTAATAAAATGCGAAATACTAGGCTAAGGGCCGTAGGCTACTCAGCGGCGTCCGAAGCCAAGTTTTCCAAGTTTACCAGTCGCAATACTCAGTTAAAATTGTCACAGTGAACAGTGGTGCTTGAAGCGAATTGTTACTGCGGCGGCACTGTGAGCTTGGCAACCTTCACTGTATGAACCGGGTGCGGCCAGGCACAAAGGTGAACGCCGTACGGTCCGGCGGATTGCAAGTTGTCCTGTTCGACTCGCGCACGGAGCTTCGAGCCTGGAAAACTTGAGCAGAGAAAGCCAGTGCGCTTCACAAGATAAAACTAACTCGCGATGAACTCGATCATAGAACTGAATGCATAAATGTCATCTTTGTTAGCGCAGTTCCGCTCGTCGCTTCCGAAGTTCTCTAATGAACTCGAATTCTCCGCTCGCAACTTAACGTCGATGAAGAACCTAGTATACACAACAGGAAGCTGTACATCTTGAATTGACATATCGGCAACAGCTCCGTCGGAATATTTACACCAGTGATGAACTGAAGTGCACAGTTAGGGAAAGGGTATCGAACCTAAGAGCATCATACCACTTGAGAAGAATGCCTAGTCCTCGTCCATTTTTCCAGCTGGTTCATCATCATCATCATTGTCATTTGAATCCATTCCACTATCCTCTTTGTCGTCGTCTTCTTCCTCTTCTTCCTCTTCTTCTTCATCTTCGAACCTGATGTCTGTGGCATACATCTGAACATACTCCTTGATCTTGCTCGCGTATTTCTCAGGATCTCGAATCATCAAGGCTGCAGCTTCGCCATTGAGAGGATCCGTGGGGTTGGGATACGTCAGGAGCTGAGGCAAAATACTTCGAAAACATTGATCAAATCTGCACCCGGTGTTATCAAGGTGCTTCGAAAATCTAACATAGAGTGAGCATACCAAACATCGGACTCCAAGATTGGTTGATGACATCTAGACAGACCGATCCAGACCTGTACAATACCATTCAAAGGAAGAAGACATCGAATGCAGGAAGTGAAACATACATCTCGTCGACATTGGGATGGTACATGCGGTTCACAAAGCCGATGCTCGGAGACTTGTACGGATAGTTCACAGGAAGCTCCACGTGAACTTTCCAGGTTCCTCCCTCATAAGGGGCTGTAAGCAAACACGAGGATGTCAGTCAGGGCATGTCTCGACGTAGCAGACTATCACTGTCTTTCGGCCCGTTGAACTTGACATTGAACTCAGACATGTTGTCCTTGACCATTTGCACTTCATGGTCGCTCATCATGCTGTAAAGGCATCTATCAGCATCACTCTTTCAATTTCAGGTGCAATTACAGCTTCATCAGATCCATTTCTCGTCGCTTGGATGGTGACGACATGACTGTTGCTGCCTAGTGCGGAAGTACACTCTGCATCACAACAGTCAGGCCTGAGCACAAGATAGAGCGAAAGAAGAAACTAGCTGTTCAAGTGACTTTAAATGATGAACATCAACAGGCATATCATGGTATCATGGTATCGTCAGGCCAAAAAGGATGCTCTCGGACAACACAGCAAAAAAAATGAAAAAATGGTTGCCATCATTTGCAGTTTCAGGCGCAGAAGGGAAGGATGAGCATGTAATCTAGACAGCGCGCTGATGAGACAGGGGCCAGATGATTTTCAGAACAAGTCCCATCAACGAAAATGCTTTGTGTAAAACAAAAGTATTGTTGCAGCCGGTTGAGTCGGATCTGCAACAAACTCTTCGTCTCAAGAACCTCGACCATGGAACAAGCACTGAGAAAAGGAGAATCCATGGCTTCACTCGCCCGTCCTCATCCTCCCGGTTGTCATCTCGCTATTCCTCCTCACTTCTGCCGACTCATCACAAATCCGAACAAACAATCCCCGAGTTGCAACAAACCGTCGCAACATGATTTTTACTTTGCTGTTCTCACCAACACACTCGTTTCATCGCTTTCTAGCCCTTACATATCCTCTCTCAACCTCATCTTCTACCATTCAACTCTATTTCTCTTTCATCTGAGGGTTTTTTTTTATCTTTTTTTCGTTTTTTTTTCTCACAAGCCCCTACGCGGCAAATCTGTTGATGTTGACCGTACTCCTTCCCCAACCCATTATATGATTTTAGTTAAATAGGATTCTGATACAAAAATATTTAGATAATTGTTCAAATGGTTATTTAATTTCCCTAAGAAATTTGATTGACTATTAAATATCAATAGTTTATTATAATAAATAGTACTAAAGAGTTTTAGCTGGCTGAGAAGGCTGGCATCCGCCCGGCCGCACTGTCACATTGCCATCAGCACTACGACCGGGTACTGATGCTCAAGTTGCCGGGCCCGGCAGCACTGAGCTGAGTGTCCCGCCGGCTGAGCCGCCGGCCCGACGGTTCAGTGAGGCCTGCGGCCCCCGGGCCGCCGAACTTCCGAGCCTAGACGCTACTTTGCTCTGAGTTGTCGCACAGGCCGCCCCGGCAGGCCATACGGCTCAGTTCAGTGCCGTGACGCAGTGGCACCGTGACTGAGGGCGGTCCCGAGCCTCGGACTCAGTCCGGCGGGGCTGGTGACCGAGTAGGCTGAAGGATGGATCATGATAAAAGTGAAGTGACAGTACCATACAGTGTACTGGCAAGTCAGACAAGAACGCCCTGAAAGGCGTGAAAGTTTTCCCCTCCCCCTCCTCTCTCCTCGTCCTCGCCCCCCTCCTCGATCGGCTGGTCGTTGCCTCCGTCCTCGTCTTGCCAGCGGGTGTCGGGACTTCCGACCTGACAGGCGACGATCAACGCACAAGCTCGACGACTGCAGGACATGCGACATGTGACAGTGAAAGGGAGCGAAGAGGAGGAGGACGAGGAGGACGAGGACGAGGAGGTGATGGTGGTGGACGGTACGAGGCGGGGGCAAAACGAACAGGATCAAGGAGGAGTGACGAGGAGGGGGTACGAAGAGGAAGAGGAGGAATAAGAGGAGCCAAGCTCCAGCACCTACCGATGGCTGGGTGTTGGGGCTGCCCATCTTCTCGACGAGAGGAACGAGCGCACGTACCAGTCGAGCCTAGAAGAGAATTCGTCAGACACCCCTCCTCGTCCTTGTCCTCGTCCTCGTCCTCGTCCTCTTCCTGCTCGTCCTCATCCTCGTCCTCTTCCCCCTCGTCCTCATCCTCCTCCTCCTCCTCTTCCTCCTCGTCCTCATCCTCGTCCTCGTCCTCCTCGTCCTCTTCGTCGTCCTCTTCGTCGTCCTCTTCGTCGTCCTCGTCCTCGTCCTTCCTCGTCCTCTTCCTCGTCGTCCTCGTCCTCGTCCTTCCCTCGTCCTCTTCCTCCTCCTTGTTCCTTCTCCTCGTTGTGTCCTCTTCTTTCCTCCTCCTCCTCCTCGTCCTCGTCCTCGTCCTCCCACCCCCCTCTCTGTTGCTGCTAGGCCGTCACCTGCTTCACGTCAAAGACGCTCGCTCGGTTTGGTGTCCAGTCCTCGTCACGCTGGGGAAGAGCAGGAGGAGCAGGAGGAGCCTGTTGATGAAGAGCAGAACAGGAACAGAAGGTGAGTTCATGAGCACACAGACATATCAACAACTTCTACCTCCTCCTCCTCCTGCTGCTGCTGCTGCTCCTGCTGCTGCTCCTGGTGCTCATCTTTTCTGCTCCTGCTCTCTTCAACTTGCTCGGCGGCAACGTCGTCAGATCTCCGGAGTTGCTTCTGCAGCCGATACAACTTGTCGTTGGTGGATTGCAGCTGGGCAGAGAGGTAGTCACAAAGTTCCCGCTGATGCTCGAGATCCTTGCGGAGGAGGGCGGAGGCTTCTTGGTCAAGAATCCTCTGAGATTGCAGATGACGTCTGGACGCTTCCCAGTCGTGCTTCTCCTGCTGCAGCAGCTGCAGCTGCTCTTCGACCTTGCAGAAGTCGTCGTGCAGCTGGTTGAAGCGAACGTCTTCCGTCTGCAGCTGCACTGAGGAGGAGGAGCGAGGGGGGGCGCGAAGACACTGGGAGGAGGACAAAGTTGTAAGAAACAACAAAAAGAGAGAGCAGAAGATAAAATACCTTACACGTAGCCCATACATGAAAGCAAAGCAACTTGCAAGCATTGTCTGACAGCAAACATCCCCTATAAACATTCTGCATGATGTATGTGGTGACCTCCAAGTATACAATCCAATATCTGAACGCCCTCCCCTCCTCCCGTCCTCGTATCCGCCCTACTGCCTTCCCCAGCGCTGCTCGCCGCCACCCCTCCTCCCTCGTCCTCTCCGCCCACGCCCCGAACGCCCTCCCCTCCTCCCGTCCTCGTATCCGCCCTACCGCCTTCCCCAGCGCTGCTCGCCGCCACCCCTCCTCCCTCGTCCTCTCCGCCCACGCCCCGAACGCCCTCCCCTCCTCCCGTCCTCGTATCCGCCCTACTGCCTTCCCCAGCGCTGCTCGCCGCCACCCCTCATCCCTCGTCCTCTTTGCCCAAATCTTGATTACGGTCTTGCTTGTTTTGCGTTTTAGGGTTTTCCAGTTTGATTTCAGGTCGTCCCTCCGTGTTTTTATCAGTTTTGTGTGATTTACCCATGATGTCACCAACATTAGTTTTGTTCTTGTTGTTTGTTTCGACAGAATGATTTCAGTCTTTCTTTTGCTTGTTCGGCTTTCATCACATTGTTGCGACCATATTGCCAGAATCCGTTTCTTGATTTTTCCCTCTTTGCGATGTTTCAACCTTTCGTTCTTCTGTTTTCTGTTCTTCTTGTCCTTTATACCCCGAATCCACAAACTCACCGCCTTGTCAAGGCATGATTGCTTCAATTTTGTCACCATCATCTCACTCATCTTTCTCATTCTGGTCCCCCGAACAATGCTGTCGGACTTCCCTTGGCGAACAGTCTTCTCTACCTGTACAACTCAAGCATCACGCAACCCACCTTGAACATGTTCAGCATCCCACCTGACTCCTGATCTTTGAGATGCTATCACCCGCAGCCTGCTCCAACGACTCAAACAGTGTATTCATCACAACCCTGACCTCTCTCCTCCCTGTCTCCTTCCTCTATCCTTCTTCTCTCCCTCCTCCCTCCCTCCACCCTCCCTCCTCCCTCCCTCCTCCTTCTCCTCACCCCCGACGGCGCTGCTGCCCTCGGAGTTCCTCGGAACTCCAACACAATCTCTGGAGGCGTCTGCTCAGACATGATCAGCAGCAGGGAACATACAGCACACCAACCTGGCAGCAAGCGTTCTTCTTGTAGGTCGCCCCAGTCTCCCTCGTGGCAGATTTCTGACTCGCCATCGTCCTCCGCCTTCCGACCTCAGCTCCTTGACATGAAGCAGTCAGCAACACGAGGAGTTTGACTTTGAACGCAAGGAGATTGACTTTGAGCACAAGGAGATTGACTTTGAAGACAAGGAGAACCCGAGGACTATTGGCTTTTGATACAAGGAGTTTGATTTTGAAGACAAGGAGTTTGACTTTGAAGACAAGGAGTTTGACTTTGAAGACAAGGAGAACCCGAGGACTATTGGCTTTTGATACAAGGAGTTTGACTTTGAAGACAAGGAGTTTGACTTGGGACACAAGGAGGTTGACTTTCACTTCACAACCTTCCTGTTTTGTCCATCTTGATTGAGTTTTCAGCTCTCGGCACAGTTCAGGCCTTATAAGGTCCGATGGCCCTGAAAACGCTTCAGACAAGGACGAGCGCAAGTCAGCAAGAGAACCTGTCATGTCCGGCCGGGCGAGGCGTGAGGTATCTCTGCTGAAGACATCTGCAAGGAGTTTGAATTCAGAGCACAACAAGTTCACATCTTCCCACGCCCTTGTACCACAACCCTCACGCAACAACGAGAGCAGTCTACTGTCTTGAAGTACCTCGTCCTCCTTCGTATCCTCTTGTGCTACTCTCTGCATCTCTGCTTGGCTGGGGCCCCGCTTGCAACCTGTTTGTCCGATGGCCGGCATCATCGCTGGTGAGGGGCAGCATGTTTTCAGGGCCCTTTTCCTGTGACCCTCTCCTCTCAAACCTGGCAACTCCAAAGGCTCTGAGAGCTGTCTTGGACGGGTCGATGTCTGCAGGAAGGCAAGTTGAGGAGGCGGGTCAAGCATGTCGCTTGCTTTCTACCTTCACCGTCGTCTTCGTCACCATCGTCGTCGCTGGACTGCGTCGCTACCATGCAACGGGCGGTCAGCCTGTCAGCGCCTCGCCCATGGCGTGGGACGCAGATCAACTCGTCGTCTGTTCACAACAGCAGCATCAGGTCCAACCATGCACTTCACAAGTCAGCGCCCACCTCCATCCATGTGGTGATACACGATTCTCCTGCTCCCCGAGGCTTCCGAGTAGGGGAACAGCTTGCCGATGTTGAACATGGTGCGGGGCCCAGCCCTTGAGGCACTGTTGACACCCTTGCAACTTTCTGTCCTTTGTGTCCTCCTCTTCTACCACATTTTACTCAGTGTTGACGTGTACTTTCGTCTGTGATGCACTCTGATAGTGGGCCCTCAGTAAGTCCCCAGACAGGCTCTTCAAGAGCCCAGGCTGACCGTCTGTGAGCTGGCAGGAACAGGCTGACACAAGTCTCAGGCTAGGAGCCTGAGCCTGACTCCCGCCGCCTGCCGTCCCTGGGCTTGCCGCAGTGCCATAACGTTTCAAGTTTGTCTAGCGCGCTCTATATGCGGTCAATTGACTCGGGGTGTTGATCGCCGGGTCACCTCTCAGTCACTTATCGTGAGACCGGCGGTAAGTTCCCGGCGGTCGGCTGCGGCCCGCCGACCGTACCGTAGTACCGTGAGAGTCCCATTGCCACGGTGCCACGGACCGCCGGAGTACGGTGCCAGGCCGCTCAGGGCCCTGCGGAGGCCCCGGCGCCCAGCGGACTCGGGACTGATCAACTTGTACCTGCGGCAACCGTGACGGCGGGCGGCGTCGTACCGTACCTGTACGGTCGGACTTCGGCGAGCAATCGCCTCCGACTCTGAGCTCCGAGGCTCCCGGGGGCCCCGGAGTCCGAGCCTCGGAGTCCGAGTCCCGGCCCCCCCCGGGCCCGGTCACGGTACTAGTACTAGGCTAGCCTGGCCCTACTGACGGAGTGAAACTTTACGGTAGTACCGTACTACGGTACTCTGTCACAGTGCCAGACAGTGATTCCGCCGGCGCCGCGCCCGGCCGCCGAGCCCAGGCTGTCGGCCCTGCCCCCGCGGAGCCCGCAGTCACCGGGGCGGGCTGAGTCCGGCGCCGCGAGTCACAGTACTGTCCCGGATCTCGCAACGGACCGCCCGGGCCGCCTGTTGCCGCTGAGCGGCCGGTCCGCGTGTCCGTCGGATCGGACGGGCCCGGCGGGCGGGTGCCCGGCCGGTCAGCCAACATTCTGGATACTGTTCTAGACCGTGGCACCACTCGCCAGTGGTAGCGTTGTAATTGTTTAATTAATATTGAGTAAAGAAGTGAGTAGTCACGGTGTACTTAGTTCGATTACGGTACCCATAGACCGTGCCACCCCTATCTTGACGCAATGAAATAGGGGTGGGGTGGTTGGAAGTGAAATGGGGTGGCCCGTGGTGCCCGACGAACTGTAGCGGGCCTATCTGCTGTAATTGACTAAAAGTTCTAGTAGGGAGTCAAATGGTGGTTGGGGGTAGGGGGTGGACCCTCGTGCGCCTCATACTGTCCCATGGCAAAGGGTGGTACCATGTACGGTGGTACCCGGGCCAGGGAGTAGTACCGGTGTTTGAAATATTTATGTCAAGTACAATTGGAGTTGGGGGTGATGGGGGGGGTTGACATGCCGGGGTGGGGTGGATCGGATATCAGGGTGATTTCTGGGTAGGGGTAGTCACTGAGTGGGGATGGGGTAGCAAGGTACTGAGGGTGGGGTGGGGGTTTGTTTCAAGTGTGCATTGGCAGGAGGGGTGGGAAAGCTAAGCCTGATCCTGCCATGGCAAAGAGCGATGATGACAGGAGAGCAGAGGAGCGAAGAGAGGAGAGAGGGGAGGGGAGGGGAGAGTACAAGACAGGACAGAACATGAGAGAGGAGAAGAGAGGCGAGAGAGGAGAGGACAGAGAGGAGAGGACAGGAGAATGGAGAGGTTAGGAAAGAGGGAATAAAAGACGAGAGGAGGGAATGAGGAAGGGCGAGAAGGGCAGGAGGAGGTGGCAGAAGAGGGGGAAAGCATCAGAGGAGAAGCAATAAGATTGGAGCATGACTTGAGGAGGAGGCAATCAGATTGAAGTAGGAAGGAAGCGACAGGGGAAGGGGATGGGAGGGAAAGAGGGCAAGAGGGAATTGACAAGTGAGAAAGCGTCAGACTAGGAGAAGAGAAAGCTTTCGAAAAGAAGTATTTGACAATCAGAGACGGTGCCATGAACCCTCAACGATGAGAATGACTGCGTTCACTGTATTGTTTGTTGAAGAAGCTATTCCCTTCAACCGTGGAATCCCTGACCTTGACTCCGGTAGATGTCACCATGCAAGACAAGAAATGATCTTGAGGGGTCGCTGTGATCCCTGAATGACGGCCATGAGCGCGGTACCACAGATGCAGCAGGAGAAGCTGGATGCTAGTTGCCGTGACATGATGCTGATCCTGGAGGACGTGGTGCAGTTGTTCAAGTTGTTGCAGGGGAAGTCAAGCTCGTGCTCGTTTGTGAGCCTCTGCTCAGAAACCTTCACCAAGGTAGCCATGCTGCACCTGTGCGAGCCGGCGGATGCCAAGGGACACGCCTCCGACACTCTCCTCTCGTTCCTCACCAACGACATCGCGCACTTGCTCGCAGCCTCGTCTGACCCGCCCGCCGTTAGTGAAGGGCCTGAAGGCGAGGGGAGGGAGGAAGAAAGGGAGGAAGAGGAAGAGGAAGAGGCGGGGGATGAAGAAAATGAGAGAGAGGAGGACGAGGACGAGGACGAGGACGAGGACGAGGACGAGGAGGAAGACGAGGGAGAGGAGGACGAGGAGGAGGACGAGGACGAGGACGAGGACGAGGAGGAAGAGGAGGAGGAAGAGGAAGAGGAAGAGGAAGAGGAGGGCAAGGATGGAATCGTAGAGAAAGAGAGCTCTCTGGTTCAGGGCGAGACGTGTATGAAGAAAAAGCAGACCCAATTGAAAGGCCAACAGGAGACCGTCCAGAAGGAGGAGGAGAACGAGGATGAAGATGACGATGACGATGACGACGATGAAGACGAAGACGGGGGCGAGGAGGTCGACGAGGACGAGGAGGAGGAGGAGGAGGAGGATGACGAGGAGGAGGATGACGAGGAGGAGGAGTTGGAGGAGGATGAAGGGAAGGGAAGGAAAAAAGCAGTTGAAGGGGACAACAGCACGAGGCTGGACCAGCAAGGAGATGAAGGTGACCATGAGCTGGAGAATGAAAACACTCTGAGGGCAGCGACGGCTGCGGCGGAGGCAGCCAAGATGAGCATGGCGTTGATCGAGGAGTGCAACAAGGAGTTCACAGAGCTGCAGAAGCGCATGGAGAGCCTGGAGCAAGAGCTGGCGCAGAAGAACGAGCTGCTAGCAAGGCAGCAGGAGGAGATGATTCAGAAGAACAATGAACTTGCTAGACTGCGAGACAACAGCTCCTTCCACTTCGCTCGCACCCCGAGCAACAACCAGGTTGATGATCTATTTGGTGGAACACTGGGACTGAGTCAACTTCAGTCCAGCCCCTCGGCAAAGTCCAGACTTGCTCTCAACACCGCCATCGAAGTCGCTCTTGTGCTTGTCCCCCTTCTCCCCTCGTCACGATCCCGTTGCAGGTCATCCCGTCCTCGGAGCTCAACCTCACTTTCCTGCCAGAGAACCTTCTTGGCACAGGAACGTACTCAGGTGGGCTGGTTGTGACGTCCACAGCTCCGCCCCTGCTGATTCCGCGTCCGACCGCAGAGGTGTACAAGTCAACAAGGCAGGTGGCAATCAAGGCGTTCAAGGGAAGGTTCAGCCCGCAGAGATTCAGAGACTTCAAGCATGAGGCTGAGATGCTGCACCTGGTTCAGGGTGTCCCTGGTGAGACCACAGCTGGTTCCCTGCTGCCATCTCAGCTCCTCCTCCAGGGATCTGCAGGCTGCATGGGATCTGCATCGACTCGCTCCCCAACCTCTACCTCGTTACCGAAGTCATCCAGGGAGTCACCCTGGAGAGCTTGCTCGAGCAGTACTCCACCGTCGGCCTACCCTTTCTCCGCTCCCTGCATATCTCACGCAATATCGCGAGGTAACCCTCTTCTCCCTCTTCTCCCTCTTCTCCCTCTTCTCCCTCTTCTCCCTCTTCTCCCTCTTCTCCCTCTTCTCCCTCTTCTCCCTCTTCTCCCTCTTCTCCCTCTTCTCCCTCTTCTCCCTCTTCTCTCTCTGCTTCCTGGCTTCCTCGTGTGCCCTCTCTCCTCACCCGCCATGCTCGCAGCACGATGCAGCAGGTGCACAGCAAAGGTCTGATCCATCGCGACCTCAAGCCGAGCAACTGCATCATCCTCGACACCAGCCCGCCCTCCGTGAAGCTCGTGGACTTCGGGCTGGCCTGCACCGTTCACGGCGAGTACATGACAGCAGGTTCACATACCTGCCTCTCGCCTGCCTCATAGCGTCTCTCCAGAGGAGCAGGACGGAGCCGGCACGCCAGCCTACCAGGCGCCTGAAGTGCTCAAGAAGGAGGCGTGCGGCCTCCCCTCCGGTCTTCCGACGGCCCTGTAGGCTCCGCTGACGATGCAGCAGACGTCTACTCGTTCGGCATCATCGTGTGGGAGCTGCTCAGTGGTCGGATCCCCTACGAGGTGAGGCTGGTGACGTGGCGCTGGAGGAGAGGTTGACAGGCGAGACCTCAGGGGATCAGCCTGGAGGAGATGAAGTCTGCTGTCATCGCAGGTCCCGCAAGCCTCCTGCCCCTCCTCCTTGTCCTCCCTGGGTGATCTTGTTGAGCAGGGAAACGCCTGCCTGTCAGACCCACGTGGAACAGGGTGAGTGCAAGGAGAGCGATGCTGCCGCGAGGGAAGAGAAGGAGCAGGGAGCAGGGAGCAGGGAGCAGGGAGCAGGGAGTGGGGAGCAGGGAGCAGGGAGCAGGGAGCAGGGAGCAGGGAGCAGGGAGCAGGGAGCAGGGAGCAGGGAGCCGAGACCAGGGAGCAGGGAGCAGGGACCCCCCCCCCAGGGAGCAGGGAGCAAGGAGCAAGGAGCAGGGAGCAAGGAGCAGGGACAGGGAGCAGGGAGCGGGAGCAGGGAGCGGGGAGCAGGGAGCAGGAGCAGGGAGCAGGGAGCAGGGAGCAGGGAGCAGGGAGCAGGGAGCAGGGAGCAGGGAGCAGGGAGCAGGGAGCAGGGAGCAGGGAGCAGGGAGCAGGGAGCAGGGAGCAGGGAGCAGGGAGCAGGGAGCAGGGAGCAGGGAGCAGGGAGCAGGAGGAGGGTATAGCGTTGACTTCAAAATCCCAGGACTTGGTGATGATGATGATTTCCTGTTGGGAACCAGAAGGTCAGCGGAGACCGACGTTCTCTGCTCTCATAGCAAGGATCTCAGCGCTGATCGCTGAAGTTGTCAGTCCCATGCTGCTCTGGTGGATGCAACCTGACTTGCTGGCAGGAACGAGCATCGGGGCGAACGCCGTCAACTGGTCGAGCTTGATGGATGCCTTGGTTCCTATGACGATCATGGCAGGACACGTAGGGAGCACAACGAATGGCGGCGGGGTTTTGGGCAACATGGAGGAACTGTGAGGAGGAGGCAGGAAGAAAGATCGAAGATATGAACCGTGTGGTTGATTTGTAAATAGATATTCATTTGCAGATTTAACATGTTACAAGTTCCAGGGGCGAACGTAACTCATGGGGTTTAGCAAAAAATAAGACATAAGGAGCGGGTGGCCCAGGATCCTTAGAAGGTATAGCGAGCAGCGTCGCTGTACTGGCAGCCTGAGCGCTGGATCACGACTCCGGCGGTGTAGTGACCGCACTTGACCGAGTCCTGCCAAGGGTGTCAAAGTTGTCAAACGCTGAGCATGTCAGAATCACCTCAATGGACTTTCCGAGCATCAGCCCAGCAAAGAAGCCACCGCAGAAGGCGTCTCCTGTGAGGTAAGTGAGGGGCGGTCGATTGTGAGGGAAGACGAAGGAGGGCGAGGGGGAAGGCGAGGAGAGGAGGAGGAACGAGAGAGAAGGAGCATGGCGTAGAGAAGGAAGAGGAGGAGAGGAAAACAGGCAGGAGAAAGGAGGGCAGAAGCTCTTACCAGCTCCGTTGGTGTCGACGACTTTGTCCACCTTGGTGACGGGGTACTCAGTCGCTCCCTCGGGAGTAGCGACGATGGTGCACTCAGAGCCCTGGGTGATGACAACCATGCGGGGCTTGGAGGAGTTCTTCTTGGGCAACTTGGCAGCCTCGATCGCGATCTCCTTGACGGAGGTGGCGCTGAAGCCGAAGGCCTTGCCCATGGCGGCAGCCTCGGACTCGTTGCCGACGACGATGTCGAGGTACTCCCATGCCTCCTTGAAGGCGTTGAAGAAGGGAGGAACCTCGAAGAGGAAGGGAGCAGAGGTGTTCATGATCATGGTCTGATCAAACAGCACAGTCAGGTTCAACTAGGAGGAGGAGAAGAGGAGGAGAAGAGGAGAAGAGAAGAGGAGGAGGAAGTGGTGGTGGTGGTGGAAGAGGATCGGACCTTGTTGTTGTCATGAGCGTGCTTGGCCACGTGCATGATGGAGTCGGCGGAGTGAGTGAGCACGAAGCCGGCGATGTAGTACATCTGAGCAGCGGCGATGGCGTCCTGTACGGGCTTGCTCTGCGTCCACGCGATGGTGTACTTCTCAGCAGCAGCCAGGTTGGCCATGAGCGAGCGCTCTCCTCCAGACACGAGCACAGCGCAGGTTCCCGTCGGAGTTCCCTCAGCCTCGTAGTAGAGGGTCGTGAGCCCATCAGCAGCTGCTGCCTCCTTGAGCTTCTCGCCAAACTTGTCCTTGCCGATGGAGCCAGCATACGTGACAGCTCCGGGCTGGTTGATCTGCCACTGGGCGACACGGGCGGTGTTCTGTGTGGCTCCACCAGCGATGTACTGCACCTTGTGGTTGTTCACGAGGTCGTCGAAGACTGGGATGTGCTTCTCCTCGCAGAGAATGGCGTTGTTAAGCTTGACCCCGTACTTGTCCAGGAAGGCCTGGTCGACATCTGGAGCAAGCATCAGCAGAGGCGGAGGTCGGGCTGCATCTAGAAATCTCCCTCTAACAGCACATCCTCTCTCTTGCTATCCTACTATGATAGACGGATTTTCTTCCGCTCCCACCCACCCTCCCCTCCCCTCCCACTTTCAGGATCTTCGGTTCCGTGACATCAATTCCAAGAGATCCCAAGGCATTGCGAGCTATCAATCGAACTATTTCGAAGCTCGTGGGATCTAGTGCGCCGTGCACCATCCTCCCTATCCCTCAACTCCTCTCCTTATTCGAGCATCTGCTTCAACTCGAAACTGGTCGCGCCCCGTTCGTCGTATCCTCAACTTGTTCGTCCTCCTCCTCCCATGTATCCCTCTTGTCCCCTTCCGACTCTCCTCTCATCCTCTCCTCTCCTCCTCCTCTACCTGCGGAGATGTCGAGGAGGGGGTTTCCGATACAGAAGAGTTTCTTCGCCATAGCGTCGCTACCTGAGCCTGCTCGGGTTTCCTTTTTCCCTAAGTCTCTTGAGACCACCCCCAACTCTTATATGTCAGTTCTAAATTTCTCCTTTGAAATATGTTATCAAATTTGAAAACTTTTCTATCTTATTGAAAAATAAAAGTATATTTGAATGTACCCTACCCCACAATTTCTACAGACTACCCCCCACGTGCAGCTCCACTAAAAATAACTTTTTCCTCGGTGTAAAGTCTGTGTTACATGGTGTGATCTCAATAACCCACCCCAAGTCCACCACAGTGGCGGAATGGTAGGGGTGGTGATGGCAGGCACTGAGTGGCCCGGCGGCCCGGCCCGGCCCGTGCCATGATAATCGAGCCCCGGGCCCGGCGTACGGGCCGCCGCCGTGAGTGGCAGGCGCCCGGTTGATGAACTTCCTAGTAGTGTTGTCCTCGTACTGATTTTAACTTAACTTTGAGTAAAACCTTGGGATCTTTGAACTTGGCAGCCCGATCATGGGGGGCTGAAGTCCCGGGGTCATGAGGCACCACCGGTCCTGAGGACTACAATTTTGTAGGGGAAATAGGGGGTGATATAGGCATACGGCTACCACAAGAGGGTGGTATCACCCGCACCTCCGACCTACAGTACCGGATGTACTAAAAGGTTTAGTCATCTCCGAGGCTTCGGACCCAGGGGCCCGTTACTCCTCGAGGTACCCCCGGAGTTACCGTACTGCCGGAAGTGAACATGGGTGGTATTATGACCCCCTATTCTTCCATCTGAACTATCTGAAATGATGGGGTCTGGGGTTGTCAATATTATGGATAGGGGGGTGGGGGTGGGGAAGGAGTACTGACGGTCGGGGTGGATGCCGCCTGAACCAGCGGGAGGAGAGGAGGGTCGGGCGAATGTTGGCATGGCGGCGGCGGGAGGAAGGAGGGAGAAGTGCAAGGAGAGGGAGGAGAGGAGGAGAGATGGAGGAAGGAGGAGGAAACGGTCGGGTTCGAAGAGAAGTGCTGGAGGAGAGGTTGGGTAAGGAGGGGAGTGAAGGGTCCGAGCCAGCTGGAATGAGGAGTTTTGTTTGCATGTAGAAGGCGATGAGAGGGAAGGAGAAGAGGAGGGGGGAGAGAAGAGGAGGGGAAATGAAGCATGTGTGAGAATCTGATGAAGTGCAATCAAAGGTGAGAGGAAGAATGAAAAGTTTAGGGTTGCCAGAGCTAGTGAAATGTTGGGATGAGGGGATGGTAGGAGAGGAGGGAGAGCAGGTTGGAAGATCATCACGAAACGACACTGAAAGTCTCACTGTCAGACGTGGCTTGACTTCTGATCCTTCACAGGCACATTCACTTCTCTATCTGCCATGCAAGCAGGGATAGGTGCGGACGGGGTTGCTGAGAAGGACACTGATTGGGCTGATTCAGGGATATACTTCAAGCACAGGGGAAATGGAAACTACTTCGTTGCCGACATCCTCCCTGGATCATCCGCAGCACAAGCCAGTCTGATCCGTAGGCTTGCATGGGAGGCGGCAACGGGTCGGTGACCACTTGTTCCAGGAATCAACGACGAGCTTCTGCAAATCGACGATTACACCATCAGCCCCAACACGACGCTGGAGGATGTATCCCAGCTCCTCCTGCTCCCCCAGCCGCTCTCTGACGCTGCTGGTCAGATTCGAACGAGGATCCTCGGGAATCCGGACACTACCGTCCGCCTTGTCTTCCGGCGTCAAGACCAAGAGCGGAACGACTATGAAGGCGGGAACGGAGATCTGTACTTCTATAACGTGGAGCTGGTCAGAAAGTTGGATCGGAAGCAGATGGGAGACGAAATGGACCCGCAAGACTCGGAGGTAGCAGCCAGGGTCAGGATGTACGAGGAAGAGATCATCAGGCTACGGCGGGAGCTGTTGATCTTGCAGCAGTATGTTGGATCTTGTTGCATCGGAGGCCTCCCGAGTCGGGGAGGGACTGACGTCTGCTGTGCTACAGAAAGACAGAGGAGAACCCTCGGAGCAAAGCCCTTGAGGCAGAGCTAAAGTCCAAAGTTGAAGACATGCGTGAGAGGAGGAGGTGGATAGCTCTTGATGGTCTCTTACCACCTGCTTGCAAGGTCGTTATGAGCAGATGCTGCTGCAGAGCCAGGAACACACGAGAATAGCAGAAGAGGAGGGGAAGGTGGCACGAACTTCCTGCTGGGCACGGAGCTGACGGCGTGCAGGATGTCCTCGACAAGCTCACCAGGCTCCAGCAGGACAACGAGCGACTGCAGGCCCGTGAGAAGGAGCGAGGGAGGGTGAGAAGGCCTGCTGGGGGGGGTCGAGAGGCTGACAGCTGGACTTGTGTTGGAAGGCGCTGGAGGAGCTGCAGCAGAAGAACAGCAGCCAGATGTCGATCCTGACGAGCTCGCGCCTTCAGCTGGAGCAGGCAAGGACGATTGCTTGTGCCCGGGGTCAGAGGATGGTCTGACAATGGAGCGCAGGCTGTGGCGAACGAGAGGCAGAAGCGAGCGAGTCTGGAGAAGGACCTTGGTTTCATCTATCAAGAGATCCAGAGGAGGCAGGCGGAGCTGTCCAAGAGGAGGGAGAGCAAGGCGAGATTGCTCGACGACCTGCGTCGGGGTCATCAGTCGCTGCAGGAGGTCCACAAGGTACTTCTCTGACGCTGCCTCCTCCTCCTCCTCCTCCTCCTCCTCCTCCTCCTCCTCCTCTGAGGTGCGCGTCAAGGTGCAGGAGGACCAGGTTGCGTCCCTTGCAGAGGTCATGTCTTCTCTGGACAAGGTGAGGGAGGGAGGAGAGGAAGACGAGGGAAGAGGAGGAGGATTACAGAAGGAGCGAGAAAGAGAGGGGAAGGGAAGGAGGAGAAGTAAAAAGGAGGAGGAGAGGAAGCTAAAGGAGGTTGTGACTGCTACGTCAGATCAACCTGGCAATCACTACCAAGATCGACTCGTTTATCAACTCGTCGTCGGTTAGGAGGTATGAAGTGTCGTCGAGAGAGGCTTACACTTGATCGGGCGGAGAGGAGGAGCAGGAGAAGAACAAACAAAAGTCTCGTCCCGATAGTTGAGAACAACAAGACGACGAGATGAGTTATAGATGATTTACATTCAAAACAAGATCAGAATCCCGTCAACTTCTCCTCCTGCCCCTCCTGCCCCTCCTGCGCTTGCCCCGTCCTGCTCTTTCTCCTCCACCTCCCCCCCCCTCCCTCGCCAGTTCCGATACCGTTGCTGAAGTTGGCTTTGCTTCACGACCTTGTCCCTCACTCTTTCACACCTTCAACGAGCTGAAGTTGTAGATGTCCGGGAGGTCAAACCTGCAGTCCAGTGAGACCCTCCGCATCCTCCCTTCTGACTTACGTGTTGGGAATCTGAACGATCTCCTCCTCGTCTTCGTCCTCCTCCTCCCTCTCGCCGCCTCTCCTCTCCTCTGCTCGCGGGTCAGTCTGTGTACGGTCAAAGGTGGAGGTGCTTGCCTAGCTGGGGAGTATCGACATCCATCTTGTCCTTCCGCTCCTCCTTGGGCTGAGACTCGGAGCTGCTGCAACGTTAAAGCAGAAAGACAAGGGAAGCAGGGGAGGAGAGGAAAGAAGGAGAGGAGAGGAGGAGATGAGAGAGGAGAGGAGAGGAGGGGAGAGGCAGGGGGAGGGAAGGGGAAACGGAGGAGGAGAGGATAGAGTTAGTTACCTTGATTGCTGGGGCATAACGGACATAAGGAAGGCATGAAGGAGTTTAGTCGGCTGAGGCAGAACTGTGTACAAGTGAGTCTCTGCAGCCAAAGAAAATCCTTCCTCCTTCTCTTCTCCCCCTCCCCCCTTACTCTTCCACCTCGTCGTCCTCGTCCTCATCCTCCTCTATCCTCCTCTTCTACACTCTCACCATGCGCAGGAGCAGAGAGGATGTCGTGCGTTAGGGAGCTGTCCTCCTTCTTGCTGGCATCCAGTAGCCGCTGCTGCTTCCTCTGCTTCCTTCCCTTCTTCCCTGCTCCGAACGCCAGGCTGAACATGGAGGCTCGACCCGCCTCCTCCTCAACCATTATCTCTCTTTCCTTGTGCTCCTCCTCTCTCCCCTCGCCGTCCACCCTGTGGAAGCCGCCTCGTCCCGCTACCGTCAGCCACGCGTTGTCCCTCCCGCTCTCCGCGTCCCACACGTAGGCGAGGAACGAGGAGCCATGGCCGTGAGGAGAGAACAGCTTCGAGGTCTTGGGAACCTTCCAGACCTGGGAGGGGACGGAGCTGCTGGCGTTGCAGCGGAGGATGAAGGAGACGTCGTCAGCCGCGACGGAGAAGGCGAACTCGGGCCGAGACGGGTGGGCGACAAGGCCGCAGGAAGAGACATCGAAGGCCCAGGACAGCGAGCAGGACAAGAGATTCCAGACCGCTACGGTGAAGCGGGAGGCGGCGACGAGGGAGGGGGAGGAAGGGAGGAAGAGGAGGGTCTCGATCGGCTCGGTGACGCTCGCATGCGACAACACCTTCTTGAGCTCCAGCGGCTCGCTGGTCCAGACGGTGACGTTGCAGTAGAAGGCGATGGCGAGGAGCGTGCCGTCGGGAGAGAAGCAGGAGGCCCTGAGAAGCATGTTTAAGTCCTCTCCTCTCCGCTCCGCTCCGCTCCTCCTCTCCTCTCCTCTCCTCTCCTCTCCTCTCCTCTCCTCTCCTCTCCTCTCCTCTCCTCTCCTCTCCCTGACCTGCATGGAACTTGTCGGTAACTCCCGACTGCCGTGCATTTCCACGTGCTAGTCGGCAGGGCCTCCCTCGCCTTCGCCTCCTTGCCGGACCTGCTGGGGGGCGCCATGCCCAGGTCCCTGCTGGAGAGCGTCCAGAGCTTGAAGTTGCCGTCGAAACCAGCACTGAGAGAGGAGAACTCAACGAAGAGAAGAGAGAGAGGAGAGGAGAGATAGAGCGACAGCGAGAGACAGAGAGAGACAGAGAGAGAAGGATACATGACAGGAGCAGGAGCAGGAGCAGGAGCAGGAGGAGGAGGAGGAGCAGGAGCAGGAGGAGGAGGAGTCTCGGGTTGTACCTGACGACGCTCTGGTTCACAGGGTTGAACGTGAGGGTTCCGACCCGTCCGTTATGTGGGTTAACGATCCGAGTCAGCGCCTGGAACATCCCGTCGGTCAACCTCCAGAAGCTCAGCTGGAAGAAGGCCCCAGCTGAGCTGTCATCTCCCTCCACCCCCTTATCCTCCTGCGAGGGACGGGGTCCGTGGACCACCGCCAGGTGCTCCCCGTCCGAGCTGACGGCAAGCTGAAGGATGCGGGGGTTGGGGTCAACGGGCCTCTTGGCCTTGCCGTACTCGGCGTGGATAGGAGCCTGGGAGATGGTATTCCTGTTGACCACCTCTAGAGACTGCACATGCTTGCCGTTGACAGAGTCCCAGATCTGCTGGAAGGTGAGACGATAGCGGAGGATGAGATTGAGGAGAAGGAGGGAGGGAGGGAGGGAGGGAGGGAGGAAGAGGGAGGAAGAGGGAGGGAGGGAGGAGGAGGAGGAGGAGGAGGAGGAGGAGGAGGAGGAGGAGGAGGAGGAGGTGGTGGTGGTGGTGGTGGTGGTGACGGGTTGGACTCTCAACCTGTAGTGTCGTTCCTCTTGGGTTCAACAGGACATGTCCGTGTCTCGGCTCGATGCCGAGGATCGAAGCAAAGCTACTCGAGTCGTCTGCTCCCCCCTTGGTCCCCTCACTGGGTATGGGGAGGAGGCGCAGAGTCTTGACGATCTTCCTCGTTAGCAGATTCACCAGCTGGACATTCTGCTCGGTCCGTCAGCTCCCCGCACTCTCCTCCTCCTCCTCTCCTCTACCTGCTCCTCGCACAGCACGGCAACGACTGTCCCGCAGCTGCTGACGGCCATGGCGTTGACAGGTCCTCCGAGTCGCGGGAGGAACTGACGGTAGCCAGTCTCCAATTGCCACATCACCAGCACCCCCTCATTCCCTGCTGAGAGCAGGTACGCCCCGTCCTCGCTGATCCCCATGCACCTGACCGCGGACGCATGCCAGTGCATGTTGTGCTTGCTGCAGACGGGAGGGTCGGAGACGCCGCTCTTGTCATGCAGCACGTTGAACCAGAGGAAAATCTCCCCTCTCTCGTCTCCCACGGCCACGAACTTGCCCTCCGGGTGGCAAGTGACCGCCACCACGTCCCTCGCGTGCCTGAGCTCGACGGGCTTCCTCTTGTCGTCGTCTGCTGAGTCCGTGTAGAACAGGAGGAGGTCTCTGCCGGTGACAGCGAAGAGCGTGTTGCCGTCCGCGGTGATGGAGAGCTTCGCCGGGGTCCTTGTCTTGAACAGTCTCTGTACAGAAGTGAGGATACAAGTGCGAGCTAGTAGGAGAAAGTCGAGCTGCAGGACACATAACAACAGATGCAGGGGCAGGGGCAGGACGAGCAAGAGGAAGAAGGAGCAGCAGCAGCAGCAGCAGCAGCCAGAGCATGAGCACGAAAAGGAGCAAGAGCAGGGAGAAGCAGGAGGAGGACGAGGACGAGAAGCAGCAGCAGCAGCAGCAGGACAAGGAAGAGCAGGAGGAGGAAGAGAAAGAGCAGCAGGAGGAGGAGGACAAGGAGCAGCAGGACAAGGAAAGCAGGAGGAGGAGCAGGAGGAGGAGCAGAAGGAGAAGGAAGGGCAGCAGCAAGATCTGCTCACCTTCTGCCGCCCTGTCTCCAGATCCACCACGTTCACAGTTCCAGAGGACTTCTTGCCCCCCTCCTTCCCCTTGCCATCTCCCTCCTTGACCATTGCAACATAGGCAAGCCTGGCATCGGAGGAGAGGACGAAGCTGTTGATGGGGAATGGCAGGCTCCAGACCTTGAGGTCCGTCCCGTCCGAGACGTCCCACAGCCGTAGGCAGCCGTCCAGGGAGGAGGTGAAGGCCTGAGAGACGTTGAAGGGATGGAGGGAGATCCCTGAGACCTGCCGCGTGTGCCCCTCAAGAGCGAACATCTTCTTCCCCGACAGTGTACTGTGAACTTCCACATGGCTCGCCCAGCTCGTGAGCATTTTCTTCCCGTCCCTGCTGAAGCACACTGCTGCATGCACACGCTCGGTCCTCGGCTCTCTCCCTGACCCAGGTCCATCCCTTCTCCCTCTCCCGTCGTCCCTCCTGTGCTGACCACCGCTGCTCTTCTTCCCGCCCTCCTTCACGGTTTCGCCCCCTTTTCTCCCCTGATCGTTCTTCTCCCCTCCTTGTTCGCCTTCTCCTTCTTGCTCCTCTCCTTTCCCTCCGCCTCTGTTCCCTTGTCCCTCATCCTCTTCTCCTCTCCGCCTCTCTCCTCCTCCTTCTCCTCCTTCCCCTCCTTCTCCTTCCCTTTTCCTTTCGCCATCTTTCCGCACGTGCGCCCCCGCCTCAGGAATTCTTACCCTCATCCCCCCGCTATTCAAGTTTCTGGTAGCGCCATAACCGTCGTAACCGTTATAATGACCACCACGGTGACCAGGCTTATCTCAAGACATGGGAGGGGGCAAGATGGAAGCGAGGGGAAGGCGGAAGTTGGTGGGCGGGGGGCAGGACAGGACAGGACAGAGCAGGACAGGACAGGCAACAGAGCAAGGCAGGGCAGGGCAGGGCAGGGCAGGGCAGGGCAGGGCAGGGCAGGGCAGGGCAGGGCAGGGCAGGGCAGGGCAGGGCAGGGCAGGGCAGGGCAGGGCAGGGCAGGACAGGCAACAGAGCAGGGCAGGACAGGACAGAGCAGGGCAGAGCAGGGCAGGGCAGGGCAGGGCAGGGCAGGGCAGGGCAGGGCAGGGCAGGGGAGGACTATGCAAACTATTATGCTGCTATTTGTGAAGCCTCCAAGTTTTGAACGAGTGGAAGTAGAGAGAGGGAATAGGAAAAGGGGTTAGGCCAAGGCAAAGCAATTCAAAATACCTTGACGAGATGATGCTGATTTGTTGTTCCCGGCATGATCTTGCGATCATGTTCACATTTCGTCTATTATCCTGACAGTCTTTCGCATCATGCAGTGCAAGGACACATGGCGGAATCTGTTCGATCGAAGTTTCAGAGGTCAGTAAGGAAGCTGATCCGCATGGGGAGGAGAGATTCCTTCGTGGGCTTCGAGGAGCAGCCCATTGTCAACTTCATCAGGCACAGGTACGATGCTGTCAAGGACGTGTTTGTCAAGGATGAAGTGAAGGCGATGCTGGAGACAAACACTCTCAAGGTGGCGCTGGAAGGAGCGACGAGGGAGCTGTACAGGATCAAGATCATGACTAAGTTCCGAGGGAGCGACAACTACGTTGCCAAGAGGTACAAGAGTCACGTGCAAGCCACCGACGAGATGTACTTCACGGACTGCAAGATGCAGGTGAGGAGCTGTGGTGCCCGCGGGGAGAGGAGGAAGGAGGAGGGAGGGAGGGAGGGAGAAGGGAGGGAGGGGGAAGGGAGGGAGGGAGAAGGGAGGAGGAGGGCTGACGTCGCTGAAAGATGATAGCCAAGAAGATGGCGGACGACTTCAACAAGCTGAAGCCTCCCACCGGATCGACTTCCTAGAGAGTTTCGTGCTCGAGATGGCAACGGGGGACGGAGGAAAGCAGCTCTTCACAGCCGAGAAGTTCGTCCAAGGAGACTACCAGAAGCATTCCTCCAACAGCGGGTTCGTGCAGGAGGTTCACCATAGGATGACTCCCCACGCCTTCAGCCACTTCAGCTATGTGCACAGCAAGGGAAGGTTGATGATTGTGGACATCCAGGGTGTGGGAGACCTCTGGACAGACCCGCAGGTGATGCGGTGGAGGAGGCCAGCGCGTGCCCTTGTCCCTCTTGCTTCCATCGTGCTGCTCCCTGCTCCCTGCTCCCTGCTCCATGCTCCATGCTCCATGCTCCATGCTCCTTGCTCCTTGCTCCCTGCTCCAGCACCCTGCTCCTGCTCCTGCTCCTGCTCCTGCTCCTGCTGCTCATCCTCCTCTCTTCTCCTCTCCTCCATCTCCCCCCTCTTTCTCTTCTGCTCATCTTCCTTTTCACAGATTCACTCGGTCGAAGACGAGCATGCCTTCGGCGTGGGCAATTTGGGCCTGACGGGCATCGCAAAATTCTTCCGCACCTACCACTACAACCCGCTGTGCGAGTGGATAGGCCTCATTCCCTTCCAGCAGAGCCCCAGCGACCTTCCACCTTCCATAGACTGGGAAGAGGTGGGCTGCAGCTGGGGTTGGAGGAGGCGGAGGGGTGAGGGTGGGATGGCAGGCGGCGCATGATTGGAAACTGAGCGACCTGGCGAAGAAGAAGAACTCGCAGCGACCGTTCATAGCGAAGCTGTAGGTTGAGGAAGGGGGAGGGAGGGAGGGGAAGGAGTGGAGGAGAAATAGGTGATTGGAGAGGAATACAGACGGGAAGGGAGGAGAGAAAGATTATGCTGGAATAGCAAGTGGCTGGAAGAGAGCGAAGGAAAGAAGAGAGGAGGGAGAGGAGGCAGGGAGGAAGAGAGAGGAGGGAGAGGAGGGAGAGGAGGGAGAGAGCGAGGCATCGAGGGAGGAAGGAATGTAGAGGAGGAGGGAGGGAGGAAAGGGGAAAGGATCGTAGGGTAATGTACATGACGGCAGGTGCTCAAAACTTGGAGCAGACGTGCATTTCCAGATGGCAAAGATGTACGAGAATGGAGTCTTCAGCGATGACGGGTGAAGAGAAGAAAGTTTGTTGCATGACATGATGAACATGCTGACAGTCGTGGCGATGTTGAGTCTGCCTTGTTCATGTGCAATGTGCCGCTAAGATGGGATATGCTAAGGCGAATGTGATCATGGCCAAGGTGAGAAGAGGGAGAGGGAGAGGGAAAGCGAGAGGGAGAGGGAGAGGGAGAGCGAGGGAAAGAGGGAGAGCGAGGGAAAGAGGGAGAGCGAGGGGGAGAGCGAGAGGAAGAGCGAGAGGGAGAGCGAGGGAGACAGGAAGGGAGAGGGAGGGAGAACCAGAGGGAGAGGGAGAGGGAGGGAGAGAGACGGGGAGGGAGTGGGAGGGAGGGAGGGCAAGAGCGAGAGAATGCGAAGGAGAAGAAGAAAGGAAACAACACTGTCAGAAGGACGAAGGCAACAACTACAGCTTCCATCATGATTGTGCTAGAACAATTTGTTCCTTCCTCCTCTTCTTCCTCTCGCCTGCTCATCGCATCTCTGCTGCAGCTCTACTCGGGTATTGCCCGAGACGTGCTCCGAGACTACAAGATGGAGGAAGACCCTGGCAAAGCGTTCGAGCACTGGTACGTGGGAAGTGAAAGGGAAGGAGGAGGGAGAGAGGGAGGGAAAGTGGGCAGGAGACAGGAAACAGGAAGGGCGAGGAGCAGGAGCAGGAGCAGGAGCAGGAGCAGGAGCAGGAGCAGGAGCAGGAGCAGGAGCAGGAGCAGGAGCAGGAGCAGGAGCCAGCAGACAGACGTGGACGTGGACGTGGGCGTTGACGAGGACGAGGACGGACAGGAGGAGCAGGAGGAGCAGGAGGAGGGATTAATGATTGTGTCAGGCTGGAAGCGGCGAAGGAGAAGGAGCACACGGCCATGCACATGGTGGCGCAATTCTACGAGGGGACTCTGACGGCTCCTAACGTCGAGATCTCCTACAAGTAATGATGATGATGATGATGATGATGATGATGATGACGATGACGATGACGATGATGATGATGATG